CTCATATTTGTATTAATGTATTAAAAATAAATAATTTCTTACTTTTGAATCCATTTTATGATATACTCTGAAGACAGCTAATAATGTAATCAAATATATGAAAGCAAATATATATTGAGCGCACAATATATTAGTGCCTCTATTTGTCAGGTAATAGAGTATTGTATAGATGTAGAGATGTCCGGCCGGGTAGACAATAGGACCCGTATCTCCTTTGATGGCATTATAGTCGAGAGTGCCGTTGAGGAAGCACTGGACTTGTTGTACATAAGTTGACCAGTCTATCTCTGTGTCTATTCAATGGACATTTCAATAAATTTATTATTTAGTTATACGTCTATTGTTACAATTAGTAATTAAGTTTTGTTATATTTGTATACATTATTATAATTATAACATAACATTATTATATGGATAAATGGCTAATTATAATTGCATCTCTCTCTCACTCTCTCCAGTTAAATACTCTCTCTCTCTCTCTCTCGCTCTCTCTCTCTCTCTCTCTAGAGTTAAATATAGTGAATTTGTGAAGCATATTGAGAGCTACTTGAACTGAAAAGATATTAAGATATTGGTATATTTGATGCATTATATGGACTCATCTCATAAATGATCACAAATCACCACAAATGGTCTGAATGTGAACAGCAATCTATTGGATCTAATCATCGATGAGGCAAATGGCTGGCCATAAGCCGGCGCACCAATAGACTATTAATACTAGATTAGCATGCACATTCCTTACAGTGACATATGGTAACCAATATGACTTACATTGAACTCTATTAATAATAAATAAGTTGAGGACACATTCAAAAGCAAACAAAACAATCATTACTACAAATGATAACTTCTTATCAAACAATATATTAAGTGTTAGGCAATGGTTTCGCACAAAATTCAATAAATCATTCAAATATCTCCTAAAAGTCTTTTTCTGTTTATTCACATTCCGATGGACTAAACGTTTATTAGTTTGAGTCATCACTGCTTATGTGGTGATAGTGTCCGATATGACCACAAGAGCTAATCCAATCCAATGTACAGCAAATCAATTGATGCAAATCCGGTGTAGTCTACCATAACATGTGTTGCAGTGTTTGTAAACTTACAAAATGTGTTCATTAGAGCCAACATTACACTCACTCTCCCATTGCATAGTACGTTGAATATTATTAAATTAAGTAGCTAGCTCATTTCAATTAATTGTAAATATTGCTGTCAACCACTCGTATAAACTGATCCTGATTAACATGCATTACAATTATGATTATTTAACATGAGATGTCAATTCAATTGATTGAATGCAATATTCTTTAAAGAATTCTTCATATCATCCATAAGTTTAACATAATTTATGAATAGAGTGAATGAGACACAGAATTGAGACAATGTTTTGTCATTTATTTAGGGATTCAATGAATATTCAGTTGAATATAACTTATGTTTAAATCAATTGCTTTCAGATCTCATTC